GAAGCGTTGACAGTGAGGGAAAGAGAAAGAAGCGACGCTGGTAGGGTTTTGGGAAAAAGAATGCAGCGCCACACAAGTGATATAAAAAAGAGGGAGGAAGAGTCTGTTTTCAAGTAAAATGGGTGAATTACTAGGTTGGTCATCCAATTTTTCTAGGATTCACAAAAATAGTTTTGAACTTTCTAAATTTACAATTTAGTCACTAATTTTGAATTAAGAATTTAGGTCAAAACTTCTCAATTTCTAGGGTTTTAATTGGGGATTTTTCGGTGGGTACATGCCTTCTATTTACATCAAGAAAAGAAGTGTAAAACTCGTTCTAGACATATGTGTGCTTTATCCTCCTTTATTTAACCTCATAATGTTTATCTAAATTCAACCACTAAAATTCACATTTGATCTAACTTAATTTATTTATAAAAATGTAACAATTTTAATCAATTCAACCATATAGTAAATTGGATTGTAGTATTTAAAATTTTAAATAACAAATTTTGATAAAAAAATAAAAATAATTAGAATTTCAGATGAAACTGAACTATTTTGATTAGATGAAACTGAGCTTTAAATAATCTAAATTTAAATATATCAACCTCACATATTAAAGAAATAAATTAAGATTTATCTTATTCAGAATCAACATGAACTATCCAGTTAACGAATCTAATCAACCTCACATATTAAAAAAAAAAATTAGATTTCTCTTATTCAGAATCAACATGAACTATCCAGTTAACGAATCTAAACCCTGATGCAGAAAATGTTATTCCTCAGCTACAGTGACGAATGCTCTCAAGGTTGAAGGAGCAGAACGTGATCCCACCTTTATATGCTTCTTTTCATAGCACTTGTTTTCACACTTCTAAAGCTTTTTTATTTTATGGATTTAGATGCCATTATCCAATTCCTCGATAGATTATTGAATACATATATAAAGAGGTTTGCATGCATTAACATTTTTATGATTGAGATTGAATATTTTTATATAATTTTTAAATTTTTTATTTTTGATGTAGTTGATATCAGAAATATTAATTTACTTAAAAATGACTTAATAGTATATGAAGTATTAAAAAAAATTATAAAAGAAGTTCAATGTATCCCTAGTTTTTCGAATGTAATTGCAATAATAGCTCTTTTTATGTTATTATTTTTAATTAGATTAATATCTTATCAAATGAAATTAATAATTTTTTATAAATATTTTTTTCGGGTTAAATTAGATCGAAGGTGGATTTTTATCTTATCAAATGAAATCGGGGATCATATTTCAATATGTATTTTTTGAGTCAGACCAAACTGATCGAATGCCCGATCCAACTCGATTCAATCCCCTAATTGTTTCCCTTATGCATGCAACCTTTTGTGTATGCAAATAAGTTGCTAGTAAGTAACTCTTTCATTTAACAAACTATTCAAACGTTTCTACATGATAATAGTAATATTAAAAAAATTTAGGTAACCACGAAAGGTTGCTTGAATATGAGTTGATGCATGTTCAAAAATATCTCTATGAAAAGTAATTATTTAATGAGTCAAACCCAAAAATATGTTACTTAGAAAATGAAAGGAATAACTTATATTTTGTTGAATTCCCTTGTCATTTAGCTCTTCTTTGGGTAAGCTTCATTCTCCTTAGTTTTCTTTTCTTTTCTTTTTTTGTTGAATTTTGTCTTACTTCATTTTAATATAATTACATTGTTATTTTATGATAAAAAAAAAGCTTTCATATGTTTCAATCCATTAATTAGAATTACTTAATGATATTAGTTAAAGTGATTTACGCTTTGTTTGATGAACAATTAATCCATTTATTGGCTTTAAGTTGAGCATATTATTAATGAGGTTTTCTAACACCGGTGTAAGTCAGTGTTTATAGTTTAGCAAATGAAATGATTGGCTTGCATCATTGTAAGTAAGTGTTGTTAGTTAAATCGGTTAAAACTGAATAATGCTCACCCTTACTAGTTACTAATGTATTTGATGTGATATGAACCCATGTAATTGTGGGGTGCTAGAGATGAATTCATCAATTCGATCCCAACTAGAAGAAAAGTTACCAAGACACCATTGTTTCTAACAAACTCATTTGTTTCAATGGCTACCTTACAACTTTATGTTATCTTAGAGGTGATAGTCGATAGAGTAGAGATGATAAAAAAGTTAGAAAACAACAAAATACCTGGAATGCCCCTTCTCCTTAACTCCATCAATATGGTGTCGGTTTTAGCTACAACAACCATGGTCGGTGTTTTTGCTGCAACTGGCAGCATTAGCGGCACTGGATTTTCTCTTTTGGGTTTAAAGTTGGCATCCAATGTTATGTTCTTGTCGATCACTGAGATGTTGGTGCTGATGAAAAGATTCAACCCAACTATGCACTTTTGACAAACATTACCATTAGTGTACAACGAGAAAAATATCATAATCACCAAAATGAGAACAATTTGAAATCAAATTAATGTCGTTAATGAAGAAGATCAATGATTGATGAAGACACTAAAAGGCCTTTGATGAAACGCTTCAATACCTTGAAGAATAGTTGTGATATTCATAAAATACCTTGAAGAACAGTTGTGATATTCATAAGTGAAAGGGAAAAAGTTAGATGATGATTTTGAAAGGAAAAAAGGTTAGGCGAGCAAAACAAAACAATAGGAATAGTTGAGCGACTAAATATGTTATTTACTCTTGGTATTTTTAATGGAGTTAATTATTTGAGATAAATGAGTTAACGATTTAAACTGTAAGGGGTAAAATGTTTTTGAAAAATACCTAATAACTCGATAAAGCCAATATAAATCTACTCCTTATTTAGGGGTGTAAATGAACAGAGCGTTCAGTGAACTGTTCGTGAACCGTTCGTTTATGTTCGTTTGTTAAGCTAAATAAACAAACATGAACAAAAAAGTTATGTTCATTTAATAAATGAACAAAAAAATTATTTGTGTTCGATTCGTTTATGTTCACGAACAAACTCGTTTATTAGCTCATTTTTTAGCCCATTTATAAGCTCGTTTATCAATTTATTCATTTATATTCATGAACAAATTCGTTTACCTTATTTTCCATATCTTTTTTTTACATTTTAAATATTAGTGAAGATAATGATTAAATAGAAGACGTGATAAAAATTAGAAGAAGTCCACGATGGAACTCCCAACAATGTGTATCAAAATTTCTAACAATAAATCATACGATAGATTACTTAAAACATCTCACCAGCCATTTAAAAGGGGACAAGGTAAATAAAAGTGGACCAAGACTAAGAAGATTTACATACGGAACAAAAGTGGCCCTACTTTAATTTTAGAGTAAATGACATTAAATACCACCAAATTTTAGGTATTATATCATTTATATCACTAAACTTTTAATTTTTAAATTATAGTATTAAACTTTGATTTTCATTTCAATTATACCACTAAAACGTTAAATTGTTAATGGTACGATGATGTGCCTGACAGTTGTTGACACATACACCTCACCAAATTACGTCATTTTCATATGAATGTTAATGATTTACTGATTCAGTAGTATAATTAAAACGAAAATCAATATCCAATGATATAATTGACAAAATTAAAAGTTCAATGGTATAAACAACCAACACCTAAAGTTCGATAATATCTAATATAATTTGCCCTTAATTTTATAGAATAAAAAAACCAAAGGCCCAAGAAAGTACACTTATTTCCCTAAAGGTATGGATAGTATTATAAATAAAAATGATCAAAAGAGTGGTATAGTATCTCCAATCATGTCATCACATAAAGCTCCTCTGCTTAAAAGAGGGACAAGTGTTACACCGTTTACCCCTACGGAGGAATTTTCCTTCAAGGCCACATGCACTGCATAGCAAACCATTTTTCTACGACCCAATAAATAAATAATGACCATGTAATTCAATGACCCAACATACCAAGCCCTGCTTTCTAGACATTGCACATCGTCTAAAGAATGCAATTTATGATTTCATTTAAATTCATTAAATTAGAATAATTATCTAAGCATGACCCATTCATATAATTATTTATAACTACACTTAAATCTAATTAATATATTACTTTGTAAACGCTCCTAAATGAAAATGTGTTGGTAAAAGAAGCTTATAGTACTAACAGCGATTCATTTTGTCACCCAACAAGACACAATGATTAAAGACAGAATTAGTGTTTGAGAATATTTCAAAAAGCATATAATAGCATTGAACATTACATCAAATAGGTACTTAAAAGGGGGAGTTTACAATCAAGGATATGAAAAGAAGATGGGAAATGGGTCCAGAAATCTTGAATAAGATCAAGTCAGGTCCACTTATCTTATGCACCCACTTTTAAACAACTTCAAATCCTAACCTCACTTATCATTATCTCAAATTATATATAATCCCTTTGGGTCCTTCCTTAAGAGGAACATAGATTTCATTTTCACTCGTAAATTGACCACCATCTAAAAGGACCTTTTTCACACATTATAAGAAATACAAATGGCCAAATTAATAATTGACACAACACACAATTATCGACCACACACCACTAATCATCATCACACACCTTTATTTTTTTTATTAATTTAAGATGATTATAAATATAAAGTATAATACTTGATTTAAGTAGGCAAGCATTTAATAATGAATGCTTGAACCTGTAATCTCTATGAACAAAAATAATTAGTTAATCATATAGATAATTTTTCACACCATTATTTTTTTTTATGATTTATTATTGGATATATTATAAGGGGAGGTATTTTCTTCACAAACCACTTTAATTTATTATGATGTGAGATTAATTAATATTTAAATAAATTAAAATATATTACAATAAATTAAAATCTCTTGTGAAATAAAATTTCTATCAAATAATTGTCATTTATTTAATATCATAAATTTAATATGAATCCTTGTCACTAAACCACCCTTGGGGGTTCAAATTAACAATAATTATTAACATAAAACTTTTAAATTCTATATTACATTCCTTTTCTAAAAGCCCTGCCTTTCTGTGATTAACTTTAAAAAAGGAAAATAAAAAGGGACATGGCGACCCTTTTACATATTAGCTTTTTCTATATTAATTTTATCTTTGGAATCTTCTTCTTCTCCATTGGAAGTTAAAATGGAGAATTTCTAGCGTTTCTCTCCTTCGCTTGGCACTATTATGAACCATGAAAAGATGCTGTCGGACCGATGATGTTTATGTCAACTTTAATACTTGAAAAAATAAAATAAAAGGGAAGACAATGTAACTCCTGTCTTGTCGTTGTTGTTGTCCGAATCCGAGTCCAAGTCCAAGTCTCTCTATGTAACTGTCGAAATGCCACTCCCTATTGGAGAAGCAAATGGACTCTCCGGAAGATTGAGTCCTTGGCTGCTGCAAAACAAAGAACATATGAATGAAAATGGCTCGGAAACAATCAATGTCGAATGCCGGTTTAGGAACCGATAAAGAAGTTGCATGCATACCTATCCTGGTCATTGTAACTGGTACTAATATGATTCACTTTGTCCTCACTGGTTGAACCAGTATTCAGAACGTCCAACAGATAGTTGAAACGCTCGTACGTCTGGAAATCTGCTGCTTTGTCTGCGCAGGCTAGAACTGTAGTTTTTCGAAGGTTAAAAGGGTTGATTAGAGACTTGAAGATCGAAACCAATGAAGAATCTGAAAAAGGAAATTTTAGTTTTACCATCTGTGTGCTTCAATTCATCCATTGAGTAACCAAAATAGATTTGACTTGTCATATATTGCTTCGGTGTTAATTGCAACTTCGAGAAATGCCTTCTCTCGAACTCCAGTGCTTGCTCGTGATCGTCTATCAGCTGTTTCCGAAATAGCATTGAATTATCGTAAGCTCTTGGCACTGTAAAACGGACAGGCAATTCGATCGTTGCATCAGAATAAGCAACTTATATGTATGCTACGGGAAATAGAAAGATGAAAACAAGCAGCAAACAAAGAGATAGTAACTTGATTGAAGCTCTGAATCTCCATCTATGAAGTGTGGTCCGTAATACATATGAGGATGCTGTAATTTCTCGGTATATTTCCTGCAAAAACCGAGAGGGAAAATAATCCATAAGCATCGATGCATCATCATTGGCAAAAACATCGACAATATTAATCACAAAGCACCAAAGGTTTATCAGACATTCAAAATCGATAATCTGTTTCACACCAGTTGTGCCACTCATTGGAATTATAAACTTGTTGGTTTTACCATATGAAGATGGCAACCAGGTAAGCAAGAACATAAGAATTAAGAACACCGTCCTAAATCTGGCCTTCGAGGTTGCATCCGCAAAGTTTTCAATACGTCGAAAACAAGTTGAAGTACTAGAGAATATGATCATTTGATATGCAATGGAAGGGGAAACTTACCTATCAACAACCCTTGATTTTTCCCTATAGGGTTTCACCAGAACACGAGCCCCGCATACAAAATGAGGATTTCCTTTAGCCAGAATTTGCTTCACCGTCTCAGCGTAAATGAAAGTGACAAACCCGAACATCCTTTTCTGTTGGCATGGAATCCTAACATCATGCACTGGTCCGAATTTGCTAAAAAATAATTACAAATGAAAACATAAGAACTGCAACAACAAAAATGAGGAACTTAAATGATCTCATTATGATGATTTCATTACTTGAAGTAGTGTGAAACGTCTTGTTCGGTGAAGCTACTATCAGATGGAAAGGTAAGGTATATCTGCCTAGAGCCGGCGACTATTGCACCGGGATCATTCCTCTCGGGAGCATACTCGGGGTACTTTGGAGTATCCTCCGCCAATATCACCGCATGCTGTCCATGGGGCCTGCAAATCAAAATGACAATTAAATACAAACATGTTCATTTTGCTAGTTGTGTAAATACCAGGTCCAACAAGAATATAACATTCCGCACCTGTCAATGAGCCGAATGCTGTTCTTTAATCGAGCAAGGAGCTTGGTCAGACTATAACCGGCTTTACCGTGTCGTTGGCTCTCGGTAAGATACCCCTCAGCCTGAAGTGTCCTACCATACTTCTCATAGTATAGCATTGGCAAAGAGGCAATAGAGACAGGCAACCCTCTCCTGGCTTTTAGAAGCTCCGTGAGCTCCAATTCTAGCTTTTCGAGAGTCCCGGGAGAGACTATGCTATCATCGTTGCCAAGCTCGTTCGAACTCGGATTGAAAAGCTGAGAAAAGGTATCCGGCACAGGATGGCCATGGAAGTACCTACAATTGTTTCCATGCTTGCAAAACCCCTTGTTGAAGTAATGGCAAATCTTAACAGGAAACTCAGGCAAGCTTGGGAACCTTCGGCTGGTTCTAGCACCCAATGCAGGTTCCGAATAATAGTAATTGCTCGGGAATTCGGAACCAACGAAATTGACTGATTCTAACTGATCTTCCATGTTCAAGAAATGCATTTGATTCTGGAAACGATAATCTTCGGCAACAGCATCCGAATACCCTGGTGGGGCAAATTCCAAACCGTTAACATGTTGCTCAGCAGCAGTAACTGTTGGATGATCCCAGAAAGGAGCTGCGGAAGCTCTTCGAGCTCCTGGAGTCAACGAAACCGCATGGGACGAAGCAGGGGAATATGGAGCAAACTGCACGGGGAGATCGACGACGACAGGGGGGCGGAGTCAACTGAGAAACAGCTACCTTGTTCAAGCTGAGCTCGGATTTGGCCTTGTGGATCAAAGAATGGAGCAAAGTGTCGGGACCAAATGCCAAACGGATCATGTCCCGGTCACCATGGTCTTGCAAGAGAAGATAGCCAAAAATTTTAGACACATTATCGGGCTCCAACAGTTGGATTCTATTGTAAACAATTTTGGTCGATTCACTGAAATCCATCTCAGGTTTCTCAAAAACCCTGCAATTATCAAGTAAATATACGTATAAACACCCTCAACACATACAAATTATAATGAAATAATTACAAATTGAAAAAAGGAAAGAAGATGCATCCAGCTCAAATGGAAAAAAAGACTGACAGCAGTCAGCACAACAGAATCCTAATCTTAGTAGAGAAAAGCTGGATTATTTTTGCCAGTTACAGAATAGCTAATTAGCTTCACCAATGCCTGAATTTAGCAAAAACAGGTCACATAATTTGACTCTCCACTTTTAACATTAACCATAAAAAATATAATGATTGGATTTCAAGAAAATATGAAATCCCATGAAAGAAAAGTGCAGAGAATAAGTTTAGAAGATGCTAAACTCCTTTTCTTTTTTCCTGCTTTTTTTCCTCCTCCATGGAAACAAATTGAACAGTTTCAAAATACATAAGCATTAACCATTAAGAAAAAAGGGGGCCACAAAGTCTCTTTTTTTTTTACCCTATTTGAAAATAGCCAATGAACACTGAAGATGTGTTTTCAAAGCAGAAAAACACAGTTGTAAGCCAAAACATGAACCCCTTGTGATTTCAACAACACTTAACCACATTTCTTTGAAAACCCAACTTAAAAAAGGACAATTTCTTTGTGAGAAATAAAAGCAAAGCTACAGCTTTAGTTTAACGAAGATGGAAGAGACCCACCAAATCAAATATGCTTGAGAGGATGGAGAAAACACAAAAATAATCAAAAGGACAAATCCAAGGCCTAAAAGGACAAATCCAAGGCCTCAAATTCTTCCACGTCCATCATTCTTTCACTTCCTATCCATGGAGCTTTGCTATTAGAATAATTTTATCGTCTCTCTTTTTGTTTTCCTGCAAATTCTTTCATTTTTAAAAAAAAATTAAGAATAAAATATAAGCCAAAATGACAGAAGGGATAGCCTTTACAGGGCGCCTTGTCTTTAGTTCAAATCAACACGCACTTAAATAAGTAAATATTTATACTCATTTTCGCATTCTCTCTCTAAATAACATAATATATATATATATATATATTATTATTAGTAATAGTAAACAGAAGAACAATTTTTGATTAATTGACTTAATTTGTTTAATTAAAAAATCACTATTTTTAATTTATGTTATTGTTGCTGTCGCTCTTGTCTTATTTTTTTATAACATTAAAAAGGAATACAATGTTTTCTTGTTGCCACATACTTTTAAATTATGAAAATAAATTAATTTTATAAAATTCCAGGTTGTAGTTGTCGTTACAGATAGTTGCGGGGATTTGATCGAAAACGCGCCTGGATTTCCGAAACAGTTTGATGCTTCACGTAATGACTTAATTGCCCTTCAGCAAATGCCCCCATTTGATTAGTTAATTATTATATTTTTATTTACAAGGAAATATAAATTAAAACAACTTGTTCGTAAATATCTATATGTGTCTAAAGCTTCGTATGAAAACTTGAGCTTCGTTTCTTTCTGCTTTACCTTTTTTATATGAACGGCTGAGATTGTTGGGTGGGAGATTGATGAAGGGGGCTATCGCCACGTGGTTGAAGATTAGGGTCTGACTCCAGGTGCTGCGCGAAGTACGGGATAATCAGGTGGGGTCCACATCATCCGGTAATCCCATGTCCAACCTGGCATGTTTGGACCCCACTCACTGGCCTTTAAGTTCACTTCACTTCTCCGTGATTGGTGCTCTCTCCCTCGGTTACTTTTTTTTAATAAATGACTGAAAATAAAACGACAAAATGATTATTTTTTTTAAATTTGTATAATGAATTATGAAATTAATATAAAAGTGAAAAGGAATATTTTTAAAAAAAAAAATTGAGAGTCGAAGAAAGAAAAAGATTAAAAAAGGTAGTAATTTAGATGAACTGTTCAAACTGCATGAAAATTGGATAGGTAGTAACCCTGAACCGCTGGCGAAAATCAAATCTGACCGGGCGTTATGGGTTCTCCCTTAGAACCGGGACTTCTCCATCAACTTCCCCTAATTTATCGTGTGTGTGTGTGTTTTTTTAATTCACTCAAGCTACTTCTTTCATGTTGTTATTTTTGTCACTGAAACATTATATTTTGTTGGGACAATGCTAAAATCATATTAAATTTGAAATCTTGACCCAATTAGCTTAGGTTCGATTGGAACATTTTTAATATTATTACATACCTTAATCGTCCAATAAATTATTATTTTTTACCATCTGAAAAACCCAAATGTAATGGTTCCAAGACACACACTTAAACAATCGAATTTAAAAGGCATAAGAGTAATTGATAAGGCTCGTTAATCGGTATGGTTGACAAATCCTAGAGCATTACAGACAGTAACTTGTGTTTAGATGATTTATAGGGTGTTCATTCGAACCGAATAAATTTCGATTAATTTGATTAATTTTCGAATTAACCGAAAATTTTTAAAGTTTTCTAATTTATATAAAAATTAAATATTTTATAATTCACAAAAACAGTTTACAATTAATTTAAATAATATATAATTATAAAATGAAAATTTTATATAAATTTTTTAATTAATTAATATTGATTTAGGTTTAAAAGTTATTGGATCTTAAATTATTAATTGGGTTTTAAATGGTTTAGGCTAAGCTTATGTTATATATAATATATTTAATATTTAAAATTTTATTTCGGTTAATTCTGTTAATTAACCGATTTCGAACCGAATTAACCGTTAACCGAATATCCAAAAAAAATTTAACCGTTTTCCGACCGAACTAATTCGGTGACTGAATTAACCGAATTAATTTGATTCGATCGGTTAATTCAGTTAAAACTGAATTTTAAACACCCCTATGAATTATTCCGTGTGTAAAACGTTGCTTAATCCACCGGCTACCCCAACTTTCTTAATTACCTAATTACAGTCATCAACTTCGAAAGATATGAACAATCATTAATTAAATACAAGTGGCCCAAATCGGCAAATTTACAAGACAAGTAACTACAAGGCATTTATGCATTTGTATATATATTAAAAAAAGTCAACTTGTAAAGGTTATATTTTCTCTATATATATACACACAAACGATGACTGAACTCTCGAGATAACGTTCTCGAACAAATTATTTCGCGAGATAATGCTCTCCCAAGATAACGTTCTCGAACAAATTATTTCGCGATTATATATATATATAATCGTTTAAATTAAAATTAAATAGTATCATAATATAATAAAATAGTTATAATCAAATTCAAATAAAAAATCGAATAACATGATTCGACTCAAAAACATTTCAAATAAAGTTAAATTATACAATAAAACTCGTCAACTAAATTTTTTTTATTCAACTCAACTCGATTGAACGTTCACCACTAAATATTTGTATTATCTCAAATTTAATTTTTATAATAATTATTTATTTTACTAATTATATTTATTTTAAAAATTATTATATATATAACTATTTTATATTGTTAATATATATATATATTCATCTTCAAAGGTATTCATAGATTAACTACTATCAGGAGATGAATGTTAAAAGAGATGCGCAATGATGTTCATGCACGGGAAACGCAAAGAGTAGTCTATATGTAACCTAGTTGCGCTCTTTCTTTACTAATAAATAAATAATAAGTAGGCGATGTTTTATGTCCTCTTTATTTTGTTTATTCTTTTAAACCATCCCTAATTTAGTACATTGTGGTGTTTGACATTGTTTTTAGGGTAAATTACATATTTAGTATTTAAAATATTAACTTAGTCCGTTTTAATATCTAACCTTTCAGTTTTTTTCAAAATCACACCTAATATTTTGTTTATGTTTCACTGTAATACCCCATAATTAAAAACTTAACGCGTTTAGTAGTTTTGGTCTGTTTTAGAACCTAAACTTTAAAAAAAAATCAAAATTTAACGTTAAATTTTGAATAGAGATACTAAAATGAAATAAAATATAAACTTTAGATGTGATTTTGAAAAAAATTGAAAGTTTAAGCATTAAAACTTATCAAAACTGATGTTTAAATACTAAATGTGTAATTTACCCTTATTTTCTTTTATCCTGTTACAGTTTTCTTATTATCATTGAAATAAAAATTAGGGTAAAACTATTCTATTGGTCATCTAATTATCACATATTTTATTTTGATCATTAAATAACTTTTCAATTATAATATCAAAATTACAATTTTTTTATTAATAAAATCATCGATTACCAACTTAATAACAAAATTGAAATTGTTGCTGTGATTATTTTACAATTTATATAATTATTGATTTAGTTTTCATTATTTATAACTCATATCAAATTATTTGTAAAATATAAAAAAGTAATGAGATAAATCTATCATTGTTATAATATTGATTATTTTTTTAAAGAAGGAGCATCTTAATATTTTTCTTCAACTGAAATTGCACTCGATTAATTAGTACTACATATTGTTGCATCTTCAAGTTTTGAACCTAAAATCTCTCTTTGAAAAAATAATGCGTGCCACTGTCACCATTGCCCCAACATTAGCGGTTGCCGAAAAATACAATTAAAATTTAGTAGGCATAATATCAAAATTAACCCTCAATGTTTATTAAAATATTATTTTAGTCCCTTTTTTAAGAAACCTTTGACCCCTAACATTTTATTTTAAAGTAAAAAGACCTTAAGTTTGATTGAATAATAACTTTGATCTTTATTATTATTTTGGAGTATTTAGACGCCAAACATTTTATATTAGAGTAAAAAGACTTTTATTTTAGATTGCTAATCGTTTGTTATCTAATAATTTTTTATCCATAGAGGGACTTTTGCCCCAAAATAAAATGTTGAGATCAAATTACTCTAAAAAAAAGAATATCGGCCAAATGATCGTTTTGATAAATGTTGGAAGATAATTTTAATATTATGTCAATTTATAATGAAGTGTGTTATGTACATAAAAATATGATTCCGTGTATTTGAATTTTATAATTTTTACCATTAATAAGTTCGCTCTCTATGTTTTTTTTTTGATAAATCTGGTGTTAATAGAAGGTAGTATTTGTTCAAAAACTATTAATCATTTTACAATGAACGTTTATATTATTGCATACACAGTGCTTGAACTCATTATCTCAAAAAATAACAACAAATACCTTAATCACTGAGATCTTTTAAAAATTTAAGTCTCTAATTGAATTAATATCATAAGTTAATTGGTTATTTAATTTAGTTTAAAAAAATATTATTTAATAATTAAATACGAGATTAATATATTTGTATACAAATATATCGTTACCTATAATAATTTGTTGAATAAATTTTCATAAATATATATTTTATATAAAATATTTTATTTTATTTACATTTTATATTTGAAAATTATGTTATTTATATATTTTTAAAAAATG